TTCCAAGTGGAAATACCGGCGTGATTTCGTATGCGCGTTTAATTAATTATATTAATTAAAATATAGATGCGATTAAATGTGCAGAATTAATTGCTGTGACATTTCCATAGAATATAATTAGTGAAAATATACACAATTAAAATACAATGAATTAATATGGGCATTAAATTAACGAAATCACAATTCGGAGCAATAAAATATGCAATTTGCATTTCTACCAAATGTCATATTAAACTAATTCAATCGTGCCTCCGTTAAATTCTTTATGCGTGCATTATAATTGCGCATGCATCTTAATTAGGTTTATATCCATAATGTAAAAATCAATGGCCGAGGTTTGAGACACTCCGCGCATTTATTCGATATGGATGACTCATCTTATTTTTGCACCGTAAATCAAAAGGAGAGACCCGTCAACCTTGATCTACGTTTCTCGCGAGATTTTCGCATGTTTGGTCCATCATCTTCGAGATCGATCGAGTTCATCGAAAGAGCTCTCTCGCTTTTCGATCGATCGTCCCCGAAGAGCCGATCTCGCCGCCGCTGAAACGATTAGTCTCGCCGTTTTCTCTAACTAATCAACATATATTATATTCCTGTCTACGTGCGCGTATGTATAATGTGACATTAACATTTTCCGTCCCTTTGAGCGACGTGCCCGCGATTCATAAATTTTATACATTATTGCTTTACCACGTCGCGCACGCACAATCCGCCTCGCGCTTTTTCTCGGTTATTCAATAATTTTAATTTAATTAAATTGTCATTATTTAATAGGATCCTTTCTTAGTTTATTAAATAATACTTAAATAATTAAAATTAATAAACGTGTCAAGAAGAGAGATCTGTCAGTGTATCAGACGATCAGATTATTATAAATCTGATTTTATTTTATTTTTTTTTGTATCACAACTTCTGTTACGTGTCGGATATCAGTTTTTATCTGTTCTATTTGTATAGCGCAAAATAGAGTTTATAAACAGTATAAAGATGTGGTTATTAAAAAATTAACATTTAATTTTTAGGTTTTAAATTTAGAAGAATTGTTACAAAGATAAATATGCACGACTGGACACAGTTTAGCCAAAAATTAAATAAAATTAATTGAAGAGAATGATGATACCTGATTATAATTTTTGCTGTGCAACGAGATTGGAAATAATGAAATTACGATACACATAATAGCGCGAATTAAATTATAACGCGGGAATAATTACCGCCAAAACCGAATACGAAAGAACGAAATGGTATTCACGCCGGCATTCGCGCGTTTATAACCGCTTTATAATCTGATGGTAATAGCGCGATTTATATATTATTATTATTTAATGTAATATAATTCAGGGAAGAGCGCGGGGAACGATTGGCACGCCCAAACGCTCATATATTTCGCACGCAGAACTCACACGCACACAAGGCGGTAGTTACACTAGCGCCTAGATCGACGAATGCCACCTAATTGAATTGCCGTATTACAACTTGTCATCTAATTCGCACTTGTCGTCCATGTACAAACAATATGGCAGCCAATATGCCAGAACGCGCTGACTGTCCGTCTCGCATTACCTATATTTATATTTATATTTTATGTATATATATATATATGCACTTACATAACGTATATGTATAGAGTATATCGTATGCATAGAAGGGCTCTATTTATTTGCCGTATTGTTCCTGCCGCTACATTGTCTAGCGAGTTTTCCTTAGTTAACTTCAGCGACTCCCGGATTCGCCTGAAGCTTTAGCGCGATTATAATCCTCAAGATCCCGTCCAACGGATTCTCGTCACTTTATTCGGCTAACAGGAGTCACAAGGATAACAGAAGTCTTCGTAGTAATCGTTATATTCGCGTTTCCATCAACGACTGATTGTATAATCTGTATTTAGCTTTTCAGGAATTAGTTTCTTCGTTTATTGATTGTTTCTTCATTTTCGAAAATATTTTCAATAACATTTCGATATTATTTTCGGAAACAACGAAGCAGATAGTTAATAGATAAATTATAAAGAACTTAAAATTGATAAAAAATTATAAACATTTTAAATCTGTAATTTAAAAAAATGGGATTTTTAAAATTTATTTGATAATAATGTATTGACTTTTGTCGCATTTTTTGCAACGAGTTGAGTGTTTCGAGAAAAAATAATGTAAATATTTAGATCACAAGCTATATATAACGTAATTGTGTTAATCTTTCGTGGTAAAGTAATTAAGACAAAAAATATTAAATTATGATTGACATTTTATCATTAAATTTATATTCAGCTATTTCACATTTGTGATCCACGATAATTAAATCTTGACGATCTTGGAATTGTATTAAATAAAAGTGATTAAGACACTTCCGTTCGAAATAAATTAATAACGGAAAATAGTCGAGATTTAATGCTAGCAAAATGAAATCGTCTCTCATATTCTCGAAATACTGAGAACTCGGCCACGCTTTAGTATCGTTTGGAGAAAAAAGAAAATGGGTGGGGCAGTGACGAGTCTGTCGCAGAGCGAGGGATAATTATCGGAATCCCGAGGGTTATTAATCGCCGGTATCGAGATTATGATCGAGCCAGCAGCAGCGGGAGGATTTTCTCTGGCTGCTGAATAATTCTAGCTCGTGAATTTCTGAGTAATTTGTAAATGTCAAGCGTTCGGCCGCCGTTTACAAGTTTTCCGCTTCGTATCCCCCTCTCGTCTTCCGGCCTGACAAATCGACCGTTTATACAGGGTGCCTCCCACAGTCACGAACTATTGACATTGCGCGCCGTAATTACGGAGACGCGCGACGCGAGGTGCCACGCCGTTTCGCATTGATATGCGCCTCCCTTATCGGCGCCATCGGCTAATAAAATAATCGATGACACGAATATATGACGGACAAGGAAATGTTCGAAAAAGAAAAAAAAACCGAAAGTACACTTACATCGGGAGCACTTCATATCTAACGAGCAGATGTATTGCTTTTTTTTCTCTTGTTACAAATAAAAAAACAATCACGTCTAAAAGGTTTGATTAATTGTACAGTTGCTGCATGACGAGTTGAAAATTCGATTGTCGGATTTGCGTTGATTTCTCTAAATCTATATGTGTGATATTAAGGCGATATTATCTAAGCAAGTTCTCTGAGGCCGTGTTTTATTTAGCGAAAATTTGATTGGACGTCTTGCCCTCTCTTAGGACTTAGATTTTCTAAGGCACCCCGTACATCTCTACGGTGATTGGATATTTACAACTTGAATATATACAGTTTGAAAAAAAAATGAGGAAAATAGAAAAGAAAGAAAAAAGAATTTTCGTCGGGACCGTCGAGATCGACTCGGGATACTTCGTATACATCGGTTGCGACTTGAAACTTGAAAACGAGCGGGCCTCGATCGATTTTTCTCGCTCGACTACATTTCCCCAGGCTACCTCTATTACACACTTTTTTTCTGCTCTTACGTCGCTATCAACAATCTACATTTATCTACACACTCGAGCTTCTCGTCGACGAGCCGCGCGTCGTATAGACGCGCGTGTGTTTTAAGGTTTAGATTTCAACTTTAACAAACACCTAATGGTCCAGTACGGGAGAAGGTTTGCGTTGCTTGGCCGTTAATTATACAGTAGATTAGTGCTTAGCCATTTATACAGACTGCCTCTCGCGTTACGGTCGATTTATTATACACACGTCGTACTCTCTCGTTCCGAACGATCGCGAATCGCACCCACCGCTTTTCTGCTCCTACTCTCTCGTCGATCTTCGACGAGCGATTTTACGTTTTTACTTCAATTTCACATTTCGAGATGCCTCTTGAGGTGCAACTTCGAAAAAGTGCGACTTTTAATGTCTCTCTCTCTCTCTCTCTTTTTATTTTTATTTTTTTTCTCGATTAATTTGTCAAGATTGCCGCTGTCGCATCGAAAGCGCGAATTAATTCGAAACTGTTTTTGGTTTCCATTCGGATTAACATCGTAATATAATGTCAACAAGATTATAATTGTGCGAAGAGTCTCAACGTTTAAAAATAAAACACTTCGAGTGTATATATGTAATATTTTTATTTCAACAATTTGCAACAAAATGTTCCTATCTATTCACGGACTTTGCGTTAATCATCCGCTTTTTTAAGTGATGATTGTAATCTTGTCTGCCAATCAAGATTAGGCATTGAGAACATTTATTTTTATATATACATTATATATAGAGAACATATATATAATTTATATATATTGATTAATCTTGTTAGAACGTAAAAATCTCTCGATTATTCATTTTTCAATATTTCTCAGTTTTCATATATGTCATTAATTATTCTCCGCCAATCACTCGCCCGTAAATCATCATGTAATCAAACATCATTAGTAACCGCGTGCCGATTGTTAATGGTCAACTTGCGATGCAACTCGTGTCCAAGTTACGTCGGTTGCATGTCGATCGCGCAACAGTCTCGTTCGCAAGACACTTTTGACGGCGGAAATTGTCGAGCGCGTAAAATGAAAACGCAATTTGGCCGATGATTTCTACTTGATTTCGCGTACATTTGACAAATGCATTCCGTGTCAATCTCGTTTTCGTATCAAGCTCGACCTCAAAGCGGCGTCGATCGTCCAGGGCATCATCGATCATCCGTCACTAACCCTTCGAGTAGCGCAAATAACACTGTTTTTCTACAGTGTAACTGCAGTATCTTCTCTGCAGTTAGGCACAGTGTTTTCAACTGCCATGTCCACATACATTAGCATCTATATAATAAGTGCTTTTGAAATGTGTCGAAACATGCAACGAATATTCTATAAAAGTATATATCTATTTGCTATTTTCTCTAAGTAATATGTGTTTTGAAAATAAAACTAGGTAACCCCCCAAAATCGAGTTTTAATAAAGTTTATATATAAAGATGTATTATATTCTCATTGGTGCCTTAATAACTGTACTTAATTTATTGTATTTATTGTAAAAAATAAACAATTGAAAAATATATATTTACATAAATTTCATATTTTAAATAAAAACACATTTTTTAAAGAATTTCATCTTGGAAGAAAAATAACTTTGGTTACAATAATTTAATGTTAATTACAATAATCATCGCATGTTCGACGTTAAATCCGGAGTCATACGAGCTGTGACGGTCGAAGAGTTAAGGACAAGGCTCGAGGACGCTCTGTCGAGGTTACAGTGTAACAAAAATACCATTAAATATCAATATATATTTAATAATATCTTCAACGGCGCGGTGAGCGATCCGCGATCGGCGGGAACGTGTTTGGGGATCGCCGTGCGAATCCGCCGATTGATGATCCCTGCGATCTGTCTCCGATCCGCACGGCAATCGAGGGGAAGGCGGGGGGGATTTCTTCCCTTCGTTGATCTGCGCCCTTCAAGGCCACGAGTCCTCTCTCGTCCGAGTGGGTGGTCCCGTTGTCGGGACCATTGCTACTACACGCACGCGACACGTGGCGATCCTCTGCGAGGGGGACACTCGATACAGATTTTTCTCGACGTCCTGATGTCCCTGTCACGAGCCGAAGAGACACGTCGACCCGAAGAGGCTGATCGCGAACAGAACAACGAGGAGCGCCGACGACGACCTGGAGATCGCCGCCTCGTTGCTGTACGGCATCTTCACTTCGACCTCAGCCATCTTGAAGATCGAGAGCAGCGGATGCGTGTGCACCTCGTGGTGCTTGTTGTTGATCTTATCGCTGAGATCTTGCATCATCGACGCGCACTCCTCCTGCAAATCGAGAATTTCGATTAGCGCGTTCAGTTTAAACTTTTTCAATTCAAAAGCAGATTTTATTTTAATGGGAATTTGATACGACATTCGCGTAATTATTAAATGACGGGAGGTTATATCTATTTAATCGTGATAGATGCTTGATTTCTAATTGTAGTATCCGTACGAGCAGCGCGAGATGGTATGTGTGTGTCAGCGGTGTGCGAGTATGAGTGCGAGTGTGTGTGCGTGGACCGGGTGACGAGCGGACAGTTGTCACCAAGCAGTACTGGTGTACGGCTCGGAGTTTGTATCTACACACCGAAATAAAGGCGCATTAATAAGCAATAATTGTGTCCTTTCTTAATATCCCACACTAATATTTCAACGTAATTTTGAATTGATTCGCGTTCCAATTTACAGATATGTTAGTTTGAATTTTTACTTATTTTCGATATTTTGTATATAATTGTATACAAAGGTAATTTTTATATAAATATTATAAACAGAAAAAATTATGAACCAAATAAGTAAAGACTGTGCCAAAAATTATCTTTTCTAGTAACTTTGTTTATAATCAACTACAAAATATTAGCGTAGTTGTATAGCTTTATAATATCGTGAAAAAAATGAATTGATCGGAACCAATCAAATTTTTTTCATTTAAAAAGCGCCTTTATTTTAATCGGAGAATTCGCAGAGCGACGATATGTCCTGGTAAATTCAGGATCGTTTGTAATGACCGGAATAAATCCTTCGCGAAAGTATAATCTCCGCGAGAGCACGCGCATTTTCCGTTCCTACTATCAATAGTTGTTCCGCCAGAATACGAGTTTTCCCTCGAATACGACTTAACGACGTCGAATGTAACCCCTCCCCTCCTCCCCTCGTTTTATCCTGTACCTCTTTCCAGACGGAATCCGGCATCGATTTCCATTTTCAACCCTCTCCCGCTACGCGCAGCCCTTGTTCCTCGTCCCCAAAATTACCCTCGGCTCGTTGAATCTTTAATTTCCGGCGTAGGAGTCCGCGAGAGGTTGAGAGCGATTTTTGGTGATATCTTTCTGGTGCGCCACGTGGCCCGACCAGATTTCTCAACCCGCCCGCGCCGACGTTTCATTCGCTCGTTTCGTGCCCGGACGAGGTTTTCAATGTGAGATTAAATTCCGCGTGGAAGCTGGAATCTTGCGCGAATAACTTCGCTGTGACGAGCCGGTGTAGCTTTCCGAGCGTGGAATGAAACTTTCGACGAGTCTGACCAATGATATCTTTGGTACGTTGGGAAAGAGACACGAGTCGTCCAACTTCAGATATATGTCTTCGAGCAATGTATTAGAAGTCTGCATTGTAAAAGTTAATTTATTATATAGCGATTTTATGACGTAAACGCTATAATAATATCTTGGCTTTCTTCTTTGGAAAAGATTCTGCTTAGGTTTTTTTTATAATTATGGCAATCTGAGATATTAATGTATCAGATAATAAATTTACTTTTTTGAGATTCACCTAGTTATCGCTTTCATTTTCTTCAAAATATATGTTTTATGGAATACTTGATGCGTGAGACAGGGAAGATACCTGACTATGAAACAATATTGCAGTATATATCCGCGCGCATTCGATAATTAACTCGCAACGTGCGAGAGACTCGGGTCTACAATTAGCACCAGCCAATACGTAAAATGAATTATCGCACTGGGCTTTTGTCCGGCCATGCTTGGATCATTACTGCTTCGCGCAGTTCCATTCAATTAGCCTAAAAACCCGGCCAGGCACATTCGGCGTGTTTTGCGCTTTCTTTTATCATATGGGTTACGTCCATTTTGCAGTCAAGTACAATAGCTGAATTTAAACATTTAAAGTAGAAGATATACATCATGCGGAATTAAAAAGAATTAAATAAATTCGTATCTCGGGGTCCACAATTTAAAAAATCGCAAAAATATCGGAAATTCAGATGCAAATTTAACTTTAACTTTCCGCAGAGTTGTCCATTGTATTAATATCATACTTTAAAATAATAAATTATACAAGAAATCGATATTATATAAACGTAAAAAGTATTTTTCCCCAAATAAAATAATTAAATTTACATTTTAAAATAATACCTAGCTTATATTTTTCAATTCTAGAACTTAACGGACGAGTTTATCGCCTAAAAGTTCAACTTAGTATAATTCGTGTATTAAATAGAGTAGCCGAGTACGTCAAAGTCGCTAGTTACTTACTCCACTTTTTACTATATCATCATAATTTTGTTACGCGGAGAAGTCGACGAAGCTTTTAATTGCTCATGTGTGTTTCCGTGTGCTCTCGGTTTCCCTACCAGAATAATCCGGCTTTGAATGCAAATGTGCGGTGTGTGACCTTTTTTTTCCATCGGGATTATCCAACAGATTCGCAACAGTATTGTGCGCTGCCGTGGATATGTAACTCCCACTTTTTTTACTCCGCGGATTGCACTGCTTATCTCCCGTCGTGCTTCAAAACATCAGCCGACACGCGTTTAATTTTTCCCCGGATAATATTTTATTTAATCCGGGCTTCGCCGTAAAATAATACATGGTATATGGTACGTAATGGTCTTCCGTGAGCGTCTCATTTGTTTCTGCAGTAAAACATTAGTGCTAGTGGAAACATTAAATAATTCAACTTTAATGGAGTTAAATAAAACCAAACTGCTTTTAAAACTCGAACTGGATAATTTCGTAGAGTTTTGTTAATTTTAACAATTAAAGTAATTTAAATCGACCGTGACTGGCAATATATAACGTCTTTTCAATATAAACATTGAAAAACTGTGAGCCAACTTGGTTTGTCGGATTTACACAGCACTTTTTTGGATCAATCATCGAGACATTATTAATTTCGACCATGGGTTTTGGTCAGTTGATGTAATTTCTAAATTAAATAGTTTAAATTTTTATTGCGAAAAATATTTTGTTAATTTTATTATTCCTGGGTTATTCCTGATTAACTCAGTTATTGGAGACATGTGATAAAAGATACGTTTCTTGCGAAGTAATAGTAATTATATTTTAATATTCTTCCTGTTTTTTAAATAATGCTTTAAATAATAGCATACATTTAAGTGTGTCTTAATATTAAATAAAATCTGTCTAAATATGAGAAAAAAATTATATTTTTTACGTATTGCAATCGCGTTTATATATATATGTATATATATATATATATATATATATATATATATATATATATATATATATATATATACATAATCACACTGCCTAATAATTTCCAACTGTCCAATTTTCTTTTCAAAAGCGTATTATAGATATAACAATTGTATTGCCCTACTAAAATAATTGGTAACCGAAATGATCAAATCAATCGCGAGCTGCCACGATTTCGTGCCGAACATAACATTCCGCTGTTTACGCCGGTTGTTTAACGTTATGCTTTAATTATATAATACCGAGCCGCGCCACACGACGAAACTCACCGGCAGCTCGATGGTTGTTCTAATTTACGCTCTCTTGTATTATGCGGTACGTGCCTCTTCTACCATATTAATCCAGGGTTAGAAGTACATCCGTGTTACATTGCGCTCCGCCGAAATAATTTCGCTTTACAGGTAGACACGCGCTAATACAATTATTCAGAAAATTGGCGAACGCACGAATGAATGTACACAAGGACAGCTAATATATTATTTACATAAACATTTAATTACAGAAAGGCTGCAACGAGTAACGTTGAGTTTATTTACACGCAAAGGGTGTAGTGTAAATGATCTTAAGTGGCTTAGAAGTGAAAATTATTAAGATGTTTAACGATCGCAAATAAAAGTAATTTTCAGTAAATCGTTATTAAAGCTATATTGTTAAGTAATTTGCGTATAATAATTTTAAGAATCAATATGTGAGGTAAAATTAGTCGATGTAAATATAGTTTTGAATCCATAGTAAAATTTTAATAGAAATGCATATACAAAAATCATGGTAAAATCTGACTTTTGACAAGACTTCCAAAATTGCATTTAATATTTTAGTCTTTATTACATTTGCAAACAGTGAGTCGTGTTACCAATATTAATAACTATATTAATTAAAAATCTTTTCCTAATAAAAAAGGATTCAGAATTATCCACGCTAGTGGTGCGATCTGAAATTAATCAGCCCTTTTTCCTAGTGGTAATAAACGAAGATTAAGCTAGCAGCAATCGCGCTTATGTTAGCGGAAACCTGTTCAATGGACCCAAAGAAGTGTGTCGCGAGCTAAAGTGCGATGGCATTAAGCCTCGAGCATGATCGTGCTACTCTCTTCGAAAGACGATCTCAATTCGTGATCGCCGGAAACTAATGGTTCTCCTTACAGCATCGTCACGGGTTCGGCCATTTATCCCCGCGTGAATGAAGACAGGTGCAAGGCGAAGGCATACCTGCAGGTGCAATTGCAGCCGGTGATGGGGCAGGTACCATTATCTCTTCCGTCAGGACGAATCCCTTATTAATGGTCGACTAATTGGATTTCTGAACGGAGGAGTGATTACGTCAAAACGTGGCCTCGTGCATGTTGACAGGAAAAGGAGCGAGAGGTATGAGGCGTATAGGGTGTCCCCAGTGTATAAGGTTGTACAAGGTGTCTTTCTATGTACCTTCTCTTCCAATTATAAAATCTTTAATTTAAGAGCAATTTTTTTTAAACAAACAACCTTTCAAACGCAAACAGTTGAAAGTTTTAAACGTTCTTACAATTTAAGAGACACGAAGACAAAACAGTATTTCATTATTTTTGTCTAATTTCAGGTAAATTTTATATCCTGAAGAAACTTATTAAAAGTTGTGCGTTTAAATATTACGCGAATTTATAGCTTTCGGCCAAAGAAACAATTGATAACATGTGCTATTGGAGCAATTAATATGCGATTTTCGGGACACTCCGTATGCAGCTAATAGCTAGAAGACAGATTCATCCTACAATGGCGATCTCTCCATTGGCTCTTGCATCCCGCTCGATATCCTCCCTTTCAATCGGATAAATACATCTGATATCAG